TTTTTATAGAGACGCCAAGGGGTGGAGCAAAAGATCTCCTCCCCCAGCACAGCCAAGTGCAGACCATCTCAGACACCTGCACTCAGGCCCGTGGTCCTGATCATCCTCTATTCGGACCTGCTGGGTAAAGCCACGAGGAACCCGAGAACGGGCTCCCACAGTACAACAGCCATTAGAACTAATTCATAAACAGTTTCCTCAATCTACAATTTACCACTATTTTATTTAATATTTAAGATAATATTTTACTGATTGATTCAGATGCAAATACCCTAGAAAAATATTTGACAAAGTAAAGAGAATTTTGCCTCACTGGGGATTACAAATTGCTCCTGGAAAAAAAAAAAAAAGGAGATTCTACCAATTACCTAGAATATAAGATAGGTTTGCAGAATATTCAGCCACAGAAAGCACAAATCAGGAGAAATTAATTACGAACTCTTAATGATTTTCAAAAATTGCTGGGAGATATTAATTCCCACAATTGTATTACCAACTCAAGAACTAAGTAATTTATTTCAGACCTTACAAGGTGATAAGGACTTAAATAGTCCAAGAAAATTATCAACTGAGGCTGAGAGAGAATTTGGCCCTGATAGAAAAGAAATTACAGGATACACATGTGGAACACTTGGATCCAGAGCTTGATTACATCCTACTCATACTATCTTCTACTCATTCTCCTACAGGAATTCTTATACAGAGAGAAGATAATATCTTAGAATGGATATTTTTACCATACAAACAGAGTAAGAAATTAAGGTCTATGTAAAAAAGGTTTCTAAATTGATTCTGAAAGAAAAAAAATGAGACTTCATAAATTAACAAGGATAGTCCCAGCAGAAATTGTGGTACCTTTTACTAATACTCAAATTGCCTCATTATGGGCAGAAAATGAATATTGGCAAAGAGCTTGCAGTAATTTTTGCAGTAATAGAGATTAGCAACAAATATCCCAAAAGCAGGAGACTTCAGTTTACAAAAACAACTGATTGGATTCTCCCTCATGTAATAAAGGGAACACCAATTTCTAGAGCCCCTACATTCTATACTGATTTAAATAAATCAAAAAAGACAGATTACTAGTCAGGAAATATAAGTAAAGTAGCTTAAAGCCCTTATGTTTCAGTTCAAAAATCAGAATTACATGCTATTGCCATGGTAGTATTAGATTTTCCAGAACCTCTTAATATAGTTACTGTCTCTCAGTATGAAAAAATAGTTGTTTTACATATTGAAACTGCTGAACTTATTCCAGATTATTCAGAATTAACTTTGTTATTTATTCAATTACAAAAGTAATCAGAAATAGAAAACATCCAATGTATATAACGCATATCATATCCCATATAGCTCTACTGGGCCCTTTAGCAAAAGGTAATGATGAAATTGATGAGCTATTTGTGGGAAATGTGCTAGAAGCCTCAGAATTTCATAAGAAACACCATGTTAACAGCAAATATTTAAAGAAAGATTTTTCTATCACTTAGCAACAAGACAAGGAAATTATAAGGAAATATCCTACTTGTTCTTTTTACACTCAAACTCCATTACCTGCAGGAAGTAACCCAAAAGGTACTCAAAGAAATGAAATTTGGCACATTGATAAGTTTCATTTTGCAGAGTTTGGAAAATTAAAGTATGTGCACCATACTGTAGCTGAAAGCTTTTCTGCACCCCACCAATTCCCATAGCCACTTATAAAACAATCACCCAGAGGCTTAATATTAATTACAAACTGTTTGGTCTATGGCTCAGGCTTATTGCTAGTTAGCAATTATATCTTAAATTAACCTATTTCTATTAATCTATGTATCACCATGTGTCTTGTGGCTTTACTTGTATTCCATTACATCTTGCTCCTGGGCAGTGCTCAGCATCTCCCCTGAGTCTGCCTTCCTTCTCCCTGTATCTTTCCTTGTCCTGCCTGGCTAAAATCTGTCTTGACATAGGCCAGAACAAATTCTTTATTAATCAACGGTAACAACACATATTCACAGCATACAGAAAGGCCATCCCACAGCACTGTACCATAGATACATACTCAGGATTTCAATGGGCATCTGCTATAAGTTCTGAAAAGACTGATTCTGCAATTAAACATTTATTAGAAGTCTTGGCCATTATGGGAATACCTGTACAAATTAAAACTGATAATGCTGCAGTATATGTCTCTAGTGAAATGAAACAGTTTTTTGCATATTACAACATAAAGCACATCATAGGTATACCACACAATCCTACAGGGCAAGCAGTTATAGAAAGATCTAATTGCCCTTTAAAATATAAGCTTAATAAACACAAAGGGACAATAAAGACTCCCAGAGATAGATTACACAATGCTTTATTAACTTTAAATTTTTTAAATGCTAATGAAAAAGGAACAACAGCTTCAGAGAGACAGTGAATAATAAAAAAAAAACTGCTGAATTAATCAGCTTATATATTTTAAGGAGGTGTTGACCTCATAATGAAAAACTGAATATCTGTAACACTGAGGGAAAAGTTTTGCTTTTGTTTCCATGGGAAAGGAAAAGCTACAGATACCATCAAGATTGATAAAAATTAGATATAGTAGAGATCTCTTGATTAAGGAGAGGTGATAGTTCATCAAACAGCTAAGTCATTCAAACCAAACTAGCCTTTAAACTAACAAATACCTTTCATTTGATCAGGGGTTTGTTTTTGTCTTCCTAGGAGAATAAAAGTATCCAACTAAGGAATTTAAAGACCACTGGCCAAATGAGACATCAGGAGAAGAAGGACAAATCATCAAGAGGAAAATATCCCAAGAAAAAAGAGTTGACCTAATGCTATAGCACACTTCCAACAGGGTAGAATCTCATTAATCTCCCCAAATCCTTTTATTTATAACTGTTCTCTACAAACAGACAAGGCAAATAGTCTTTTTGTGGTCCAATTAAATCAAAGCTGGCTTTGGAGTTGGAGTTGTTCTCTCCTCTAAATCCATGCATGCTTGTTAAAAGCATAACTGGATGTCAACATGTAGAAAGCTACAAATAGATCCATATCTGTCACCATGCACAAAAACTTAAGTCGAAGTGGATCAAAGACCTCAACATAAATCCAGTTACTCTGACCCTGATAGAAGAGAAAGTAGGAAGTAGTCTTGAACACATTGGCACAGGAGATCACTTCCTAAATATAACACCAGTAGCACAGACACTGAGAGAAAGAATCAATCATTGGGACCTCTTGAAACTGAGAAGCTTTTGTAGAGCAAGGACATGGTCAACAAGACAAAGCAACAGCCTACAGAATGGGAAAAGATCTTCACCAACCCCACATCTGACAGAGGGCTGATATCCAGAATATATAAAGAACTCAAGAAATTAGACATCAAAATGCCCAACAGTCCAATTAAGAAATGGGCTATAGAACTAAACAGAGAATTCTCAACAGAGGAAGCTCAAATGGCTGAAAGACATTTAAGGAATTGCTCAACATTCCTAATCATCAGAGAAATGCAAATCAAAATGATGCCTTACACCCGTCAGAATGGCTAAGATCAAAAACACTGAAGACACCTTATGCTGGAGAGGATGTGGAGCAAGAGGAACTCTCCTCCACTGTTGGTGGGAATGCAAGCTTGTACAGCCACTTTGGAAATCAATATGGTGCTTTCTTAGAAAATTGGGAATCAATCTCCTTCAATACCCAGCTATACCACTCTTGGGCATATACCCAAGGAATGATCAATCATACCACAAGGGCACATGCTCAGCTGTGTTTATATCAGCATTGTTTGCAATAGCCAGAACCTGGAAACAACCTAGATGACCTTCAACTGAAGAATGGATAAATAAAATGTGCTACACATATACAATGGAATACTAATCAGCAGAGAAAAACAATAACATCATGAGGTTTGCAGGCAAATGGATAGATCTAGAAAAAATCATCCTGAGTGAGGTAACCCAGACTCAGAAAGACAAACATGGTATGTACTCATTCATAGGAAGATACTAGATGTAAAACAAAGGATGACTAGACTGCTACTCACAACTCCAGGGAGGCTACCTAGAAGACAGCACCCTAAGAAAGACACAGGGATCACCCAATGACAGAGAAATAGATGAGATCTACATGACCAACTGGACATGAGGGGGGTTAATGGAGGGCAAGGGTCGAGGGAAAGAGAGCTTAGGGGAGCAGGAGATCCCAGCTGAATCGAGAAAAAGGAAAAAGAGACCATGATAAATGAAGACCCCATGGGAATGGGGAGAACCAAAGTACTAGAGAAGTCCCCAGAAATCCACAAAGATACCTCCACAATAGACTACTGGCAATGGTTGAGAGAAAGGCCAAACTGACCTACTCTGGTGATAGGATGGCCAAACACCCTAACTGTCGTGCTAGAAATCTCAACCAATGACTGATGGAAGCAGATGCAGAGATCCACGGCCAGGCCCCAGGTGGAGCTCCAAGAATCCAATCAGTGAGAAAGAGGAGGGTTTATATGAGTAAGAATTGTTGAGACCAAGATTGAAAAAAGCACAGGGGCAAATAGCCAAACTAGTGGAAACACATGAACTATGAACCAATAGCTGAGGAGCTCCCAACTGGATCAGGCCCTCTGAATAGGTGAGACAGTTGATTAGCTTGAACTGTTTGGGAGGCCCCCAGGCAATGGGACCTGTCCTTAGTGCATGAGCTGGCTGTTTGGAACCTGGGGCCTATGCAGGGACACTTTGCTCAACCTGGGAGGAGGGGACTAGACCAGCCTGGACTGAATCTACCAGGTTGAGCTGAATCCCCAGGGAAGTCCTTGCCCTGGAGGAGATGGGAATGGGTGGTGGGCTGGGGGAAGGCAGGGGGCAGGAGGAGGGAGGACAGGGGAATCTGTGGCTGATATGTAAACTTAAATCAAATTATAAAATAAAAAAAAATTTAAAAAAAGGAAAATCCAAAATCTCTGTCTCATTGTCAGAAAAGCCACCTGTTATGGGACAGAAGAAATCCAAAATTAAGGAACTATTCTATTGCCACTAATCTTATAATCCTTTGGTTTTATTTTGACTCTTTAAAGTTTTTCTTAAGTTATAAATATTATTTCAAAATTTATAAGATTATTGTATAAATATATGTATATGTATAACTTTCTGTTGGGATATTAGTATCCATACAGAGTACTAACTAATTCTAGACGTAAGCTTAATCTAGCTTCCTATGCCTGTTTTCAGGTTTGAGTCTGAAGCAGGTAATTAGGAACTAAGTTTGTGTACTAAGGATGTACTTAAAAGATTGTGGCCCTCTAACTTTTCAGAGATCTGCTGCATATGACATCTAAAATGTTTAATTTTCTGCTGTGAACCATGATCATTCTTGGCAGTGAGCTTTGAGGTCTCCAAGAAGATGAGGGGGCCTGTAGCAGGATTCTTAAAAGTTCTTATTAATAAAATCAAACCTAAGGCCGGTTATTGGGGTGAATACTGGAAGGTCAGAGAGACAGAACAAGCCACAGCTATCTCACCTCACCAGTTCCTCAGCTGGTCCTGTTTCCTCAGACTGGAAGCCTCTGAGTCCTCATCCAGAATGAATCTCAGCTGAACTGTGTTGCTTAAAAGCCTGAATGCTTAATCAGCCACATGCTTAACCAGCCAAATGCTTAACCAGCCAAATTCTTCTAGTTTCTGGCCCTCACGCCTTATATATCTTTCTGCTTTCTACCATCACTCCCTGGGATTAAAGGCTGGCTTTCTGGGATTAAAGGCGTGTGTCACCATGCTTGGCTATTTCCAATGTGGCCTTGAACTCACAGAGATCCAGAGGGATTTCTATCTCTGGAATGCTAGGATTAAAGGTGTGAGTGCCACCATTTTCTAGCCTTTGTATCTAGTGGCTGTCTGTTCTCTGACCCCAGATAAATTTATTAGAGTACACAATATTTTGGGGAACACAATACCACCACAGGGGCCCTGCAATGAAAAATCCCCCTGGACTGTAGTAATGCCACTAAGCTGACAAACACCACCCAAAGATCAGCTTCGGACTGCAAACTGCCCAGAACAACTTCAAAACTGCTAGCTGAGATGGTCCAGCCTCACAAATGACTCCAGTCAGGACTTCTGATAAGCCCTGCACTTTCCCATCACACTGAGATTGGAAAACAGCTCTCCCAGGACTTGATCATTATCTCAATTTTCTCAGGGTACCCTAAAGATGTCGTCAGACAACAGGAAGTAATTTTAAGAACACAATGCCTACATTCCCAAGAGGTGGGGTGAGTGGTTTTTGATCATTTGGTGTGTTATGGATACTTATCATTGTTTAGGAGGGTTAGTTGCAAGTTGTTATTGGTCATGGTCAGGGAATAAGCTAAGCAAAGGAAGTTATATTGGGAGATCTTTCTGAAAAGAAAAAAAGGGGAAATATAGGCATGATAAGGATAAAAGGGTAGATTATTGAATCTACTTTTAAACTAAAAAGAGCTACTAGTTTCAAATATTTTACATGCCTATGGATCTTTGTATATTGGTACAAATTTAAGGTTATTTTTAAATAACACATCATACTGTGTATATGTTCTACTCTTATTTAAGGTATTTTTGTATATTGATATAAATTTAAGGTTATTTTTGTTATAATATACATATATATGTTCCCAGCCTTATTTAAGGTATTCTATCTATGCAGTTCATTTTTAAAATGTAATTTAAAGTTCTAGTCCTTGAAAGCTATTATTACAAATTATTTAGGATAATAAAGAAATACAGGTTACTAGTTAGTCATCTATAACAATCAAACCTGTAGCCATGTTAGGTATGATTTCAAGGTCAAACAGAGATATATTTGAGACAGATAGGTGGTCTTCAAACACTGCAGAGACCTACCGAATATGGCATTTAAGACGTTTTAATAATATAAGGCTCTTAATGACAGTGAGATACATCTGCTCCTGGCAGTACCAATCTACTTAAAAAAAAATGATGGGCATTAAAGAAACTCCATTTGGAATTTGATATTCATTGTGGCAAAGTTAGCCACTGGGCAAGAAACTGCCCTTGCCTCAAATGCTAACAGTGTGCTGTCCAAAATTGGACAAGCAGGACACAAAAGAAGGTGACTGCTGAATTTTGCCAAGGCAGGGTAGGACAGTTCTTCAAAATTCCTGCTTCACAGAAAAGTTTGTCAGATATTCTAGACCTATAGGCTGAAGATGGATACCCCACCATTGAAGAGGAACCTTGGCTGATTGTCCAGGCAGTCAGTTGTTTCTGCCATTTCTTATTTTTGAAAGTTGTTTGCTCTGCACTTTCTGTTTACTCGGGTAATATTTTATCCTTCTCAGGTCTCTGATGGTTGTTGAAGACTAGATAGTTATACCATTTTCTTTATTGTCAAATTCAGACAAGAAACTTACAAAAGAGAAATATAGTTTATAAGTAATATTGAGAGACATAAAAGCCTAAGTCACCTATCTAAAAAAATTTTTTTTAAGTCTAAAGGATATTTTTAGGCTGATAATACAAGTTATGATGGAAAAATGGTTTAGTTATAAAACTTTGGACTCACCAAGGTAGAATAGAAAATAGAGTATCTTATCCAAATTTGCCAAATACTAATGGAGTGGATGTTCTAAATATAATTCTTACTTGATAATTGTTCTTATGGTATATAGTTTCACTGTGTTAGAGTTAAAACCATTTCTTTTTATTTAGACAAAAAGGGGGAAATGTTGCAGGATATTCAATCACACTATGGACCCTGTGTTTGTGTTTGCATTAATTA